CTCTGCTCCTCAGGACAGCCAGAGAGGACTTGGAAGAAAGAGGGGTTCAAAGCAGCAGCAAGTCAGCATGCAGTCCCGCCAGCAGCACTCCCTCTGCGGCTCTGTGCTGCAGGACGCATGTGGACCTTCCCTGGGCTCCCCTCCCCAGGGTCCCCTCCCCAGGGTCTCCTCCCCAGGGTCCCCTCCCCAGGGTCCCTTCCCCTATTTCCCGGGCACAACCAGGCTGGAGATGCGGCAGCCGGCTGTGGTGGATCTCCCCAGGACGGCTGGGGAGGGGTCCTGGGCAGGGGTCAGCGCGATGCAGGGTGTCTGCACCGCCCTGCCCACCAGTGAGCGTGGGACTTCACAGCTGAACTGCCAACAACGTGAACCTGGAGCAGAGCCCGGGGCAGGCAGTTGTGCTGGGGGGTCACGTTCAGTACAAAAGCGTGGGGGCCACCAGCATGGACCAGATTTCTCCTGCTTGCTGGTTATGTGACAGTCAGGACAGCACATGAAAGGCCGAATGACTTCTGCCTGAAAATGAACTGGCAAGACAGATATGCTCCACTATGTGTTACCCAGTAAAGAGAAAGGAAGTCATAGAAGGAAGATAAAGAAGTTTACTCCAATAGGACAAGAGGAAACAACCTGAAGTTGTGCCAGGGGAGGTTTAGATTGGCTATTAGGAGAAATTTTTTCACCAAAAGGGTTGTCAAGTGCTGGAACAGGCTGAGTCACCATCCCAGGAGGGATGTAAAAGGGGCGTGGAGGTGGCACCTGGGGACGCGGGTTCATGCTGGACTTGGCCGTGTTGGGTTAGCGGTTGGACTCGATGATCTTGAAGGTCTTTTCCAGCGTCAGTGGTTCTGTGGTCCTGTGGGGTGAGGCCCTGATGAGGGGTGAGGGAAGTGGGATGCAGGGGCATTGTCCGGGTGGGGGTGAGGGCGCAGTGCTGATAGAGGGGATGGGTGCTGTGGGAACACCCTGACCCGGCATCACCTCTCACTGCCCTGACGTGCCCGAAGGGGTGTCACAGGCTGAGAACGCAGTGCTCAGAGCCAACCCCTGCTGCTGAGGCAATTTCTGTACCTCAGAGGACCTCGAGGATTTGGGTGTGAGCTGCCTAGGCGCAGAGTGTGGCCAGGCCGGGGACACAGCACCGTCCGGCTAAGGACACGTCCTGCACGTGTGAAACGAAACCAGCAGGGAGACACAAAGAACACGTGGCGGCCAGAAGCGTTTCTTGCCCAGAAAGCACAGAGCAGCGGGAGAGCAGCACCTCTGGGCCCGACCCAAGCCCCGCACAGCCCCGCGCCCTCTTCTCGCAGGTTTCCAATAGCAGCTCCCAAGAGGAAGAGCAGAGGAACCAGAGCAGGGACAGGCAGTATTTCATCCATTGCAGACTCAGAGCTTCTGACAATCCGCAGCTTAGAGCCCTCTTGAGCCAGAGGCTACATCTGCGTCTCTGTGTTTAATAGCCCTCAATCAATTTTTCTCCCACAGATTTGCCTAATGGCTTTTAAAATCCTTTTCTCCTTTGGCCGCTGTAAACGCCCTATGGCAATGAATTCCATGGCGTGTCACCCACGAACATTTTACCCCAAGAAACACTCAGTAAAAAATTACTCCCCCTGACATGTTTTTCAGCTCTCACCGAGCCCTTTCGTCAGGCAGCCTGGCTCCCGCTGCCTGTGAAATGGTGACTGACTGTCTCTCCACCTCGTCCCCCGCGTGGCCCTGGCTCGGCTCTTGCTCTCCGAGCTGAGCAGTTTCCTGGGGGAGTTCATCCACACCTCTGCCACCTTCCCCGTGTCCCAAGAGCCTCTGCAGCCCTTCGAGCCAGATTTAGAGCTGACCGTGGAACAAACTCCGCCAACTCGTCGTTCATCCCTTTTCTGGGTGGCTCAGGAACATGTTGAAAAGCAGCGCCGGCGCTGAGCCTGCCTTGGCTACCACAGGACATACTCTGGCCACAAAACGTTTGTGTTTCTCCAGACCTCCCGGCCCGGATCCCAGCCCGGCCGTTTGTCACCATCCCGATAGAACCTGCTCTGTTGTCACCTCGTTTTGAGACAATTCCACTGAGTGGGCTGAAAAGAAAGGCTTCCTACAGAGCAAATGCTACCGGGGAGAACAAATTTTGCATTTTCACTATAGTCCCGTCTCTCCACTGACCCCGTTTAGACCCTCATCATCCGGGGCTCCACGTACCTGCTGCCCAGGTCCCTGCCTTCGCTGGGTTCTGCTTTTTACCTTTTGGCCAGTTATTTGCCCACATCTCTCTTGGTGTACATTTGGCCTGTCTTCCTTGTCAGGACAGAGCTTTGACTTACAAAAGTAAAAAGTTAAACCCGACAGGTCACTCCCAGTGCTGGCTTGCCCCCGCCAGGGACAGCTGGAGGGGCAGCGGGCAGGGCTCCGGGAACCGGGGGGCGCAGAGGACAGGGGCTGCGGCTGGAGATCGGGGGCACCGGCACCCGGGCCCTGAAGGGTGTTGTACGTTAATTCCTCGTCCTTGTGCTCATTCCCAGCTGAACTTCTGCCTTCCCCTTTGATAAGAACCAGGGGTTTGCTTGCCTACAGGCCGTGCCTGGCAAGCACAGGACATGGGGCTGGTGGCCCCGGGCTTGCGACCGAGGGTGTGCATGCCTGGGGTGGCCCGGGATGCGCTTTCATGGCTAGGAGGCTGTGGTGGGGTCTGGCCGGGTCTGGAGGGGTCTGGAGGGGTCAGTGCAGGTGGCCAGCAGCCCACCAGCCGGGTTTTAGCAGGCTGGGCTCAGCAAGGCTAGGCCAAGGGCAGCACTGCCAGGCAGCCCCGGTGGTGGCCAGCCTGGGTCCAGTGGTGGCCCCGCTCGGGGAAGGGCTTCGTGTTGGCTCGTAGGGTGTGTCAGGGATGGGATCTGTGAAGCTGCTGTGACAAAACCTGTGTGAGCTGGAACAGGGAAGTGGTAGCGCTGCCTAAATTGCAAAGTGGAGGAAGTTTTGTGTAAGAGGGTAGCTTGTTGTGAGTTCAGAGATGCTTGGTTATGTAGCAGGAAGGAAAAACGCTGTTTGGTGTCTGTAAGCTCCTG